GAAACTTCAGCTAAGTAAGCATACACAACTTGTGTATTCTTCTGGAATGTGCTTCTGGAAGAAATCTCTTATTTCCCTGACTGCTGCCATCTCTTGAGCTGGGAAAGCCTGTTCCCCAAAATTTGGGTTTGTGATCTGTGCTCAGAAGCTATGGGCAAAAACAAGTAACCACCTCGTACGCCTACTCCCAAAGCAACTATTCTAGTTCCTAAATGTAGGAAACTGTACATAAGCACACATCTCTCTTTCCTCCCACCACTCTGCTACTTGATGGTCTCTTCCTTTAAAGACCAAAAGAGCAAGCTTTCTATCTGCCCACTTTTGTTGACTGCAGAGGAGAGCAGCAACTCTGACAAATGTCCATCCTCCTGAGTCTTGCCCAGCAATATGAGTATTCTGTGTCCTCTCAGGAGGCACCATTGACCATACCTACACTCCAAGGAGAGGTTTTAGTCAAGAGTTTGCAAAGAAAAGCTGACATCCTATAAGACTGCATCAGGATGACTGGCGAATTCACTAGATTGGTTAGGGACTCTCTGATCAGCAACACTTAAATATTGAATAGCTAATAATATATTGAAGACATTTAAATTGAGCAACTGAGCAGCATTATTCTGATTACTTAGAAGGCCTTGCTAGAACACCTAGGGAAAGGAGGAAGGAGAGTGCCTTACACTCCATCTAGCACTGTGATGGACCAGAGAAGAACAGATGTATAACTCCTGCTACACTTTTTAATTTATAATATACTTATTAGTGTATATCTTGTAATTCGTCCTCCTCCAACCAAAAAGAAAAAATAAATTGTTTGATTGTGTCATCAGATGGTAACAGTCAGCCACCTGACCAGATAAAGGCTCAGATCAAGGACCCTGGGCAAGAGATAGAATGTTTATTCCAGGAAATAATAATGATAATAATAATAATAATAATAACCTCTCCCTGCTGGATTTTGCTAGTTTATAAATATAAATTATGCTAATTCTTAAAAAGAAAAGAAAAGAAATTACCATAAAAGAAATCAATTTGGAACTAATGCTTTTTCATGATAGGAATATGTACATGTACCTAAAATCTTTTGGCATGAATAGGTCAGAGCAGTGAGAGGTAGGGGAAGAGTGTGAAGGAAACTAAGAAGCTGGGGGCATAATGGTATTACAAAAAGAGTTCTGTTTGAGAAAGCAGAAAGCCTGCCTTCATGTCCTGGCTCTCCTACAGCTAGTTGTATAACTTTGGGGTTTGGGATTTTTGTTTTGCTTTTTAAAAAAAAAATTTACCAAGTCAGATCAGGAAGGAAGCAAGCATTTGTTAAACTATTATCTCAATTTACCCTCACAGTAACACTGTGTTATTATTATTCCCGTTTTACAGTTGAGAAAACTGAGGCCTACAGAGGTTAAGTGACTTGGCCAGGATCACATAGGTATTAAGTGACTGGGGCTGAATTTGAATTCAGGTTTATCTGACTCCAGGCCCAAGAGACACTGAGAACTTAAATATTTGTTCAGAGTCATACAGCCAATATGTGTCAGAGGTAGGACCTGAACCCAACTCTTCCTGACTCTGAGGCCAGCTCAGGGTGACCCAGAGTATGTGGCTTACATGAAACCTCATCTTAATCATCAGTTAAATGAAGGAGTTGGAGTAGAAGTTTTATGAGGATTTTCTTGTTTTTCAGCTCTTAAAAACCCTTCACTAGAAAGAGGTTTAAGTCCTAGGAGATGCTCCTGCCAGGGTGTCTTAGAAGACTGGAGTTGATGGAGAAGAGTCAGATCTGAGCTTTTTTTTTTGAGTTATACAGTGTGAAGAATGGCATGTTATGTCTTTAGAATCCAGAGCATTTTTAACACATTTTAGGTGATGGAAAACTGTATTACCTGTTTGTAATTCTCCCTTCCTAAAGTCTGGCCCTGCTTTGATCCATCTTGCACTCAGCTTCTGGCTTCCAGCTTCAAGAGTAGATGGGTGAAGAGAAAAGTTCAAACAATGCTCATCTCCCCCGCTTCTTCCCCTCTACTGTATTTGGGTTGGTTTTTTTTTTTTTGCCTTTTCATGTGATATAATTTATCCTTGTCTGCTTCTTCCTTTCTTCTTCTCCCAGTGCAATCCCTTTTCACCATTTAGATTTTTTACCATCACATCCAAGTCAACTTAAACTCATGCCCTCTAAGTATATCCCCCTTTAAATGTCATAAGTACATTACATTTGTTAAGATTTACAAGTGTCATTTTCTCTTGTATGGATATAAACAGTTTGCCTTTATTAATAATAATATGTTGTTGTTGTTGTTTTTCTGTCCTGTTTACCTTTTTATGCCTCACTTGAGTCTTGTATTTGAAGGTCAGATTTTCTGTTGAGCTCTGATCTTTTCATCAGGAAGGTTTGGAAGTCCCCTATTTCATTGAATGTCCATCTCCTCTCCTGAAAGATTACTACTATTTGATAAATCCAAAGATTCCAACTTCTGGGATAAGAAATCACTATTTAGCAAAAACTGCTGGCAGAAACTAGACATAGGCCAACATCTTACACCCCATGCCAAGATAAAGTCAAACTGGTTACATGATTTAAAGACTGATACTATAAGCAAACTAGAAGAGCAAGGAATAGTTTGCCTTTCAGATCTATGGAGAAGGGAAGAATTTATGACCAAATGAGAGATAGAGAACTTTATGAAATGCAAAATGGACAAATTTTGATTACATTAAATTGAAAATTTTTGTACAAATAAAACTAATGCACCAAGATTAAGAGGGAAGCAGAAAAATGGGAAAGAATATTTACAACCAGTATCTCTGATAAAGGCCTCATTTCTTTCTTTTTTGTTGTTGGTTATTTTTGTTGTTTTTTGGCTAGGCAACAGGGTTAAGTGACTTGCCCAGAGTCACACAGGGAGTAAGTATCAAGTATCTGAGGCCGGATTTGAACTCAGGTCCTTCTGACTACAGGGTAGGTGCTCTATCTACTAAGCCACCTAGCTGCCTCATCATTTTTAAAATATATAGCTCAGTCAAATTTATAAGAATACAAGACATTCCCCAAGTGATAAATGGTCAAAGGATATGAACAGGCAGTTTTCAGAGGAAGAAACTAAAGCTATCTATAGTCATATGAAAAAAATACTCTAATCAGTATTGATTAGAGAAATACAAATCAAAATGACTCTGAGGTATCACATCATACCTATTAGATTGGCTAATTTTCCCACATCACACCTATCAGATTGGCCAATTTTCCCACATCTCCTGATAAATTATAAATGTTGGAGGAGATGTGGGAAAATTGGAACACTAATACATTGTTGGTAGAATTGTGAAATGATACAACCATTCTGGAGAACCATCTGGAACTATGCCCAAAGGTCTATAAAATTATGCATATCCTTTGACTCAGCAATATCACGTCTAGGTCTATTTCTCAAAGAGATTATGAAAACGGGAAAAGGACCCACATGTACAAAAATATTTATAGCAGCTCTTTTTGTGGTAGCAAAGAATTGGAATTTGAGGGGATGCCCATCAATTGGGTAATGGCTGAACAAGTTGAGGCATATGAATTGTAATGGAATACTATTACGCTATAAGAAATGATGAGCAGGTAGACTTCAAAACAACCTGGAAAGACTTACATGAATTGATGCAGAGTGAAATGAGCAGAACCAGGAGAACATTGTACACAGTAACAGCCACATTATGGGATGACTGACTTTGATAGGCTTGGCTCTTCACAGCAATGCAAGACTCTAAGACAACTCCAAAAGACTCATGATAGAAAATGCTATTCATACCCAGAGAAAGAAATATGGAGTATGAATGCAGATGGAAGCATATTACTGCCTCTCCTTTTCCTTTGTTGTTTTGTTTTATTGCTTCATTCTTGTGGTTTCTCCTACTAATTCTAATTATTCCTTACATCATGACTAGTAAAAATATGCTTAACGTGAATGTATATGTAGAGCCTATATCAGATTGTACACCATCTTGGGAATGGGAATTAGTGGGAGGGGAGAAAATTTAAAACTCAAAATTTGATGGAAGTGAATGTTGAAAACTAAAAATAAATTAATTAATTATAAAAAAATAATTACATAGAAAGGAACAGATGTTCAGAGTGAAGTTGAGATAAGCAGGGAAGTTTTGAAAATAATGTGTGGAAATTATTATATACTTTTTAAAAAGCAAATGGTATGAAATGGACATTCACAGATTTTTATACAATCTGATTTTTGTGTTCTTTTCTGCAAAAAAATATATATTATGAGAGACTTGTTAAATGGATTGATAAAAAAAGAGTTAAACTATTTCTACAACTTTCCTCTCCCTACTAGTCTAACAACACTGGCAAGAAAAAAATTTAAGTTAGTCTTACTTGACTTGCTCAGAGTAAAGGCATGCTGGCTCTTTGTGATATCTGCTCCTTTTTGTAGATGTTTACATTCCATCCTTTTAGTAATATCTTCTAAATTTTTTCCAGAAATCAAAGACAAACTCGTTGTTTCATAGTTGGTAGATTTCACACTCTTCCCTTTGTCAGTTTCAGATAAGAATGAAATGTATTTGATGAATTTAAGTGGAACTAGATGCTCCTTTGTTTAGACCACAAAAAAAAATTTTTCCATGTGACTTTTATCTCTCCTTTCTCAATGTGAAGCTGAATCTATTTGCATCTTACCAGAGAGCTACTCAGTTTTTTTTTCATCTGTATGGAAAGGGCCAACCCAGATTACTGAGGAGAGGAGAGATTTGAAAGCTAGTCCACTGAACACTTACAGATCTGCTGGGAAAGAGCAAGGGAGGTCTCCAAAATGACAACTCCAAGCCTGGCCACACTCTCATCAAATACAGAAACCCAACCAACACAAAGAAGAAAAAATTATCATGACAGTGGAACTTCAGGTATCTCTATCTTTTAGATCCAAGCCAAAGAAACCTAAATAAAAGAAGGTAGTGACAGACTAATAGAAAATTCAAAAATCAAGACTGACTATCCTTTTCCAATCATGCTGAACTTAGCCAATGGTATGTACTTGGTGGTCTTCATCATTGAGTTAATTCTGGGTTTTTGCTGCAATAGTTTCACAGGACTGCTAAATTGCATCAACTGGGTCAAGAGCAAGAGGATGAGTTTGTCTGATTTCATTATTACCAGTCTAGCCCTGTCCAGAATATGCATACTTTGGGTACTTATATTTGATATTTTAGTACTGATCTATCCCAATTTTTATGAGGAAATGGTAGTAAATCAAATTATTGATATTGTCTGGTTATTTACTAACCATTTAAGCATTTGTTTGACCACCTGCCTCAGTGTCTATTATTGCTTGAAGATTGCCAATTTCTCCCACTGTGCCTTCCTCTGGCTCAAGTGGAGGATTTCCTGTGTAGTTATCCGGATTCTGCTAGGCTCTGTGCTTTTCTCTTTTTTCTCCTTAGCATCACCAATCAAAGAATTCATTGCTTATTTTAGCATCAGACAAATGAAACTCATAACAAACAGCACTGAAAACATTACAAAGAAAAGTAGTTATTCACTCAGATTAATTTTTAGTGCCTCCTGGATGGTCATTCCCCTTGTTGTAATTTTATGCTCATCTCTCCTGCTCATTCTTTCCCTGAGGAGACACACGGAGCAGATGAAGAACAGTATCTTTGACTCCAGAGACCCACACACTGAGGCGCATTTAAGAGCCACCAGAATCATTCTCTCTTTCCTTTTTCTCTTCATAGTATATTTTGTTGCCTTTTTTATACTTATGTTAAGCGACCTCCTACCAGATCTCAATTTGGCATGGGTGATCGGGGATATTATTACAGCTTTCTGTCCTTCTGTACACTCACTCATCCTCATTTTGGGCAATAACAAGCTGAAACTGGCGTTCCTGAGAACGCTCCAGATAGTGCCTGAAAGATGGAACTAGGTGATCCTTCACTCCACAGCTCAGTCTGGAAAACAGTAATGGAACTGGCTGTCCTGAATCTAGCTCAGTCTGGGATCTGCTCCTCCTTCACCATCAGTTTCCATTTAAAACCACTAAAGACAGACACTGACTCATCTATTGTCCAGTACCAGGATCATTAACAGAAGATTTTCAAAAGTTGAATGAACAACATAATGAATAAAACTAAACTCTTATTGTGGGCCAGACAATTTGCACATAAAGGTTTCCCATCAATGAGAATGACTGACTATATGGTATGTTACTTTTATCGTGCCATAAAAGAGAAATTCCAAGGAAGTCATGGAATGTTTGTATGAACTATTACAGAGAAAAATAACTAGAAGCCAAACAGTATACTCAATTACTATAATAATGTAAATGAAAATAAAAAACAGTGAAAGGAAGCTAAACCCTTAGTAACTATGAAAACCAACCTTGGTTAAGGAGAAAAAATAATGAAACATACTCTCATCTTCAAAAGAGAAAAGAAAGAATTTTACGTATATCAAAAGACTCAATTCTTTTATCAGTTGCTTTTGATTAAATGTTTATCTTTGTTACAAGACAGGGGTCAGTTCTGGATGGTGGCTATATTCAGACATGTATATGATGCAAAAACAAATGGCATATAATCAATAAAACATTTATTAAAATAGAATTTTGCCTATAGGGAAATCTTCACTTGCCACTGCCTCTGCACAATACTTCAGAAAAGAAACATTCTCTGGAAAAAAAAACAGTCATTGCTGTTAGCTCTCTGATCCCTACCTTTCTTTGTCTATTTAGAGGGAGAATCACCATTTAATCAGTACTGCTATAACTCCTAATTGTACATAATGAAGTTACTTACAAATTCCAACCTAAAGTTCATTCCAACTCTGCTTTCAAAATATGGAAACAATGAATTCTATTGTGTATACAGTATGAATACCACACATTCATTATGCCCTGGAAAGGACATTGAAATGGAAGTCAGAAAACCTGAGTTCTTGTACCAGCTCTGCTCTGAATTAGCTATGGGATTTATTGCTTGCGAGAACTGTTTGAGGACCCACAACACTCGAAAGAGGCCAAAACCTGGACGGACCAATCAGAAAAGGACACTTTGACTCAGCCTGGATTGGCATAACAATATTGCTTTGCATGCTCTCTGAGTGAAACTGAAACTGTCCTGCTGGATTTAGCTGACTTAGGAGCATTCTTTGGGCGAAGACCAGTCACTTTGAGCTAGACATTTCCCTTATCTTATTATTTTAGGGCCCTCCCTTAAAGAAACTATCTTGACATCCTTTGTTTATGGCTGGGAGAAAAACCAAACAACCTGGGACCACCCTTCTTGCCTTATGGAAACTATAATTTTTTGGCTGACACAGGCATCCTGAGTGGAAGGAGAGGGGAGGGAGGGGACAATTCCTCACTCTATGGGTATATAATTTCTTCCAACTGGCCCTTCTGGGAACTCAGATTATTCTGACTCCCATACACATGTTTTTACTAGCTTAAAGGGAATAAACAGCATATATTAACCTAATTTCATTTGTTTCTTTCTTGGGAAAACTCTGGAGGTTGACCTAATTCCATTGTCTCTTTTAGAGAAAACTCTGAAGGTTGACCTAATTCTGTTGCCTCTTTTTAGACCAAACTCTGGAGGCTGACACTGGTCACTCAAATTCTCTATCCCTCCCTCAGTTTCCTCATCTGTAAAATTAGAGGTTCAAATTAGATAACAATGGACATTTATATAGCACTTAAACATTTACTTTAGATGACTTTCAAGTTTCTTTCCAGACTTAAATTTTTACCATTCAATGTCCCTGTTCATTTAGCATTAGAAATATTTAACAGAAATGTTTTCCACTTGGTGATGCATTTATCTATAGCAACTTTTTTGGAATATTTGTATGATGTCATATATTTTCAATAAAATTTGGATTTTTGGATCAAAATTTGAATCAAATTATTGTGTTAGTAATACAGTAGGCTTCCTGGATGTATGTATATATATATACGCACACACATACACACACATATTGTAGGTTTTCTTAAGGAACCAAAAGACAACTCACTCTGATAGAGTTCCCACATTTGGTAAGCACCTGGGATTGTACTTTGTACCTTGAAACAAGAACAGGAAATCTAATTTTCTTGGAGTGACAATTCCTAGCTATCTGCCATGTTATTTGTCCACAGTTCTCCATTTTTGACATCTAAGAGACAAGATGACAGATTTTAAAGGAATTAGAAGGGACATTGGATTATTCATGGATAAGGAAAGGCAGGACCAGGCAGCTGTTGATGAACTTGGAGGCAACTTAGAGCCTTGCCCCAGTTCTGAGTTCTGGGGTGGCAGCTGTCAAAGGGAAAAAAAAATAGATGTCTCCTTCCTTGATCCCCACCTCTACTGTCACTGAACTGAGCGTTTCTGCTCTGCCAACAATGTCTGTATCACTCATGAGTCCACTGAGCATTCCTTCACTCAACATCAAGGAAGGCTAAACAACCAAAGAAAACAAGGGCTCATAATACTTCGAGATCATTTTATTAGTGGTCATGCTCTAATTACTAAGAGATCATGCTGTCTAATTCATAATGTGCCCAGCTTAAGTCTCTTGACAATGGGCCAGAGATTCAGTAAAGTGGATAAATCACAAGGAAGGGCCTGAGCTGCTTTGTAAATCATCATAGATTAGGCAAATCCATCTCATGGTTTACAAAGCAACTTAATCCCCTAAATATTGAGTTACACTTGTATTTGATCTTGCTGAGGTATTTATTTAAATTTTTTTATGTATTTACAAATGTGGCCACATGAAGTTATTCAGTCCTTCATGCCATTTTAAAATTTAGCATACCTTTTAAAAATTGTTCCTAGAAATAATTTGCATCTATTTTGCATCATCATTTTAACACTACAAGCTAGCTGACATTTGTATGAAGCTAAGGACCAGACCTATGATAAAAGAGATAAAGAGCTCAAACTGAGGAAATTCCCTCTACTAATGCAAATTGATGGGTTTTCTACAATTTATACTCTTAAAAAGTTACCTTGGGCACCAAGAGCTTGTCTGTCAAGCAATAAACATGTATTAAGTGCCTACTATGTGCCAGGTACTGTGCTAAATTCTAGGGATACAAAAAGAAGCAAAAGACAGTCTCTTTAGTGACAATCTAATGGGGAAGACCACAAGCAAACAAATATGTACAAACAAGCTACATATAGGATAAATAGGAAGTAATCAGAAGAGGGGGGCTTTAGAATTAAGAGGGGTTGGGAAAGGCTTCCTATAGAAGATGGAATTTTAGTTGAGACTTAAAGGAAGCCAGGGAAGCTAGTAGGTGGAGATGAAAAAGGACAGCTCCAGGTTTGGGAGACAGAGAAAATGCCTGGAGCCAAGAGATGGAATGTCTTGTTTGTGGAACAAACAGGATGCCAGGGTCACTGGATTGAAGAGAATATACTGGAAAGTAAGGTGGTGTTGTTTGTCCTTCATTTTTGAAGGGGACCAATGACATTATGGGGTGATGTTTTGACTTGTTCATGAATTACATTTAAGTGAGGCAGAGTTGCACCAAGTTATCAGCCTCACTCTCTCTTCCAGAGTCAAAGAAGTCCAGTGGCAAAGAAAGTCTAGTGACCCAGGATGTAGTAAGTGACCTTGGTGTCTTTGATGTCTCACCAAGCTCTAAGCACTCCACAGGCTCTGCTTCAGCTGCCTTCATGACTGACTTGGTTAGAATTTATTGTTCTCATCTACCCATTTCACTGGGTGGTCTTCACACGCTTGGGGAAGACAGCCCTCTAACTCACCAACAGCTGCATGGGCTCCCCTCAATCTGGCTTGACCCATCTGCCCAGATGGTTTGCCAGGGAGTGATCGTTGCACATGCCACAGCTTCTTGGAGCCAAAGTGAAAGTTGAGCGCTAGGGAGAAATCAAACCCTTTTCAGGGCTGCTCATCCTTCACGCTTCAAGTGTATGTTCAAGGAAGATGAGCACTTCTGGTGTGAAGGCTTGCCAAGCCTTTTAGGAAAGGGCTAGGTTATGAAAAGCATTGAATACCAAAAAAGGATTTTCTATTTGATTCTAGAAGTGATAGAGTTTATTGAGTAGAGGGGTGACATGATCAGACCCACATGTTAGGATAAATAACTTTGGTGACTGGATGGAGGATGGATTGGAGTACACAGAGACTTGAGGAAGGCTGCTGGCCACCAGCAGCCAGCTATTGCAATAGTCCAGGCATGAAGTCATGAGGGCCTGCACCAGAATGGCAGTAGTGTCTGAGGAGAGAATGGAGTGTATTCAAGAAATGTTGCAAACATAAAATCAATGGGCCTTGTCAACAGATTGGATATGATGGGGGAGGGGGAAAGGGAGAAATGGTCCTGAGGAGTCAGGGTGGTAGATAGTGAGGTCTAGAGAATGGCATCTAGGTTGAGAGCCTGAGGGAACTAAAAGGATGGTGTTGCTCTCAACAGTAATAAGGAAGTTAGGAAGTGGGGAGACATTAGGGGGAAACATAATGAGTTTGATTTTGAACATGTGGAGTTTAAGATGTTTTCTTTTCTTTTCTTTTTCAGTCAGTTGAGGTTAAGTGACTTGCCCAGGGTCACACAGCTAATAAGTGTCTGAAGTCATATTTGTACTCAGGACCACCTGACATCTGGACTGGTGTTATATCCACCGCTCTACCTAGCTGCCCCCAGTTCAAGACATCTAAAAGGCAATTGGAGATTCAAGATAGGTAGTCTGCAGAGAGATTAAGGCAAGATAAGTACATTTAAGAATCATTAGCTACTTTGTGTCTTGAGCCCAGGGCTTCCTGATCTAAGACTAAACTATCTACTATACCATGACGCTTTTGCTAGGTGCATGTAGCACTTTACAAAGCATTTTCCTTACAACAACCCAGAGAGGTAGAAAGTGCAGGTATTAATATTTCCATTTTGTACTTGAAGAAACTGATGCTCAGAAAGTT